GTTACAAAAAGTCGAACATTTGTAAAAAGTTTTTTTTACCCTTAGACACCCTACACGATATCTCTGCATGTACCAAACACCTCCTGAGTTACTGACGTGATGGGGGAGTCCTGTCAGCAAAGGTCCTGTCAAACCTCAAGAGCCAGCAAAGCAAAACTGCTCATTTCAAGGAGAGGGTGCCACGACATGAGGAAGACATCCGCTTTAAATATGTATAAGCCCAGGGATCTTTACACACACACTCTCTCACACACACTCTCTCTCTCTCTCTCTCTCTCTCTCTCTCTCTCTCTCTCTCTCTCTCTCTCTCAAATGGAAAACCAAGTTAAAAGATGTCTCATCCAAATGATACAATCTGCCACATTATGTTACTGACCAAGATAATGTTGTTTAAACTTGAAGCATGTAGTTCGACTTATGTTTTGTGGTCTTATCAAGGAGTTTGGGGGATTTTTTTTAACTATACCTTCTCCTTTGCACCAAACATGCAAACCACTACTGCTGTAATGCGTAATTTTCCATGCTTGAGTTATAAAGTGGAGGTGTTGACTTTTGCAGGTTCTCAATTAACATCAGCTTTGACAATAACACAGGAGGTGTCTTGCTGCACAGGGCAATGATCCTGTGGCTCAAGCACGCAGAGATAAAACTGGTTACTGCAGTTGCAGTTATTGCAACTTTGACCTACTCTTAAATGTCTTACGTCAAGAAATAAAAGCTGAAATGCTTCATCCATGCAATTCCTCTGCACAGAATGACACAGCAGTGACAGTCACTCATCTAAAATTAATGAATTTCCACTCTTATAGATGACAAACCTGTGTCTAAAACAAGTTTGACAGGTGTATTGCCTGCCTCCAGATGAGCTTCCAGTGATATCATACTTCGCCAACACCCTTTTTAATCATCTAACCCAAATGCAGTAAGAACATCCCTCATCGCTCCCTACGTGTGCATGATTCACTCATGATTTCCTCATTTGCCACTCTGATTAAAGGTACAACCAACCCCAAAACCTCAAAGCCCCAAACCCCCAAAACTCTGTGAACTGACCACATCAGATGTTTGCCCCAGATGCTTGGCCAACTGCCGTGCAGCAGAGCAGCCTGTGGACTCTTTGGGGCCTGCTTTAATGTGTGCTTAAGAGACCGTGGGACCAGGCGAATACTGCGCTCACTCTCCTCCAAATATCTGCCCATCATTTATTCATTTACACTCCCAGGATGGCCACTGCTGCCATCATCTGAGGACCCCGTCGTCTGAAGTTCTCGGCGCCTCTGTCGCTCAAACATACGCACGCATACGCACGCATGCACATGCACATGCACTTTGCGAGCAGTCCCAGAGGTCTTTTAATTTTTTGAGAGTCTATATTTAGTCAAAAAAATAATCGAGGTGGAAAGTTCCATCTGTCCAACACTCTTGTTCCAGCTGCTCCTTTTTAGCAGCAGGCAGAAAGAGGAGGGGGGAAAAAATGCTACTTAACAGATAAAACCGACACAGACTGGATTTTTTATCATATGCATTCTGCATTAGCAGGATTTCTAGATTGAGAGGCATGTTCTAAGTCAGATGCAGGGTCCATTACATGCAAAAAACTGCAAGATCATCTGTGGTTACAAAAAACTGACAGTACTTTAACATGTTTTTTTTTTATCTATACAAAGCTCACTCTGCTACTGTACAAAACAAAGCAGCTTTGAAGAGGCAATTGAAACAGTAAATGGTGATTTGCACATTTATTATTGATTGATTAATTTTCTTTTTCTTCATCAAATTCATCCCAGTTTTTACCTTGACAGCTGAATGTCTTTTGGCCTGCAAATCACCAAAGCCACCCTTACTGCTACTGTGAACCCAGTGCAACTGTATAGCTTGAAACATATCTGGATGACGAATTGATTGAAATGAAATCATCAAACTGAGCAAAGGAGACCATGCAAACAACAAACAACAAACAGACTGGGCTTGCTGTGTAATTTCATTACTTTGAGCAGAGCCTCAAAGGTTAACAAGCTCACAGTGAAAGTGGAGAAGGGAACTGGTCTAAGTTCAGCTTTGATGCAGAAACTAATGCCTTGAATGTCAATGAGCTTAAGAAACACTCCATGTTGTCCTTTTTTACATTTTTTTTTATAAATATATGCTCAAGCACTCCTCATCCTCACTGGACTCCTCATTTCAAACATACAGGACAGTGGGATGGAAGCCAGGAGGCTAATCCGAACATTTCACAGTATGTAAATCTGAAATGTTCTTTGAGATCTATTATGCAGACATCCAAAACAAACAACAGTAGTAGAAAAGTTCAGAGTCACCACCTCCACTTGAATTTAATTGTTGCATTGATTGGACCTCGGGATTGGCCCCTGCAACACCCTCGAGGGTTGTTCTGTGTGAGTCGTGAAATCGGGCCATCGTGGACAGAGCAGCTCTGTGCTGGTATAGCCAGGGGGTTTTGTTGTGACAACAGCTGAACCAATCAGTTTATAAGCATAGAGCCTCTACTGTTTATTCATCTAACTTTTTACAAACTTTCTTCAAAGGTTTCAAGCACTGCAGATCTGAATGGCCCAACTTTTCTAGCTGTGTTTCTAATTGAGAAGAAAGGATACAATATTTATGTGTAACTGGGAATTGCTGATGGCTGAAGACGGACATGATGACATGTCCTCTAACTAATGCTGAAAGTACGAAGGGCCCTGCCATGAACTTGGCCGTCTGCTGACGCCTGTCACTTGTGAATTTTATTTCCTCCTGTCATAGATGCTCACAGTTTTCTGCTTTTCAAAACATTCCTCTTTTTTCACTTCTTCTTTAACTGTTTAGTGTTCGTCCACAGCTACAAGCACATTCTGGGTAGCATGTCAGCTACATTGTATTCAAGCCATATAAAACACACTTTTTTTGTTATAAATATATACAAGATTTTGTCAGAAATGGACATGTGAGATAAGAGCATGAAAGTATTCAGGCCTCATTGTGTAATAACCCAAAACAACCCTGTGTCCGCTAATGAACAGATCAGATCAATCTCGTAACAATGTCTGACATGCAAAAAAGTGGAGGTCAGTACAGCCAAAGCAAGCAACCACAATCAATACTGATTCGCTGCATCAGAATTTATTTATAGAAACACTTGCAGCTCCCCACAAAGACGCAAGAGGAGAGCAGAAAAACTGTCCAGCAAATGCAGGTCCGTTCAGAATAAGTTGGCTCATTAATAGAGCTGCTGAGCGCTGGCACACCGAGCAGTTTGTTCTTTCTGTGTAAAAACATTTGTATACTTGAACCTTCACTTGTTGCAATGGCTGAGGTTTTTCAAATTGGATGGACATGTGAATCATTTGGAGGGAAAAGGAGTGGCCACAATCCACAATTTTATTTCAAACCTTTTTATCAGACAAAGGGTCAGAGTGATCAAATCCAATAAACTTGAGTGCATGTGTGTGTGTGTGTGTGTGTGTGTGTGTGTGTGTGTGTGTGTGTGTGTGTGTGTGTGTGTGTGTGTGCATGTGTTTGACCCTTGAGCTGACAAGACACCGTACAATGTAAGGGGGAAAACAGCTAAATAAGTGAGCAGCGGAGTGAAACACCTGCAATCAGGACCAAATTCAATCTCACACAATTGTTCTGTCTAAATTGACATGTCAGGCCTGTGTGTGTGTGTGTGTGTGTGTGTGTGTGTGTGTGTGTGTGTGTGTGTGTGTGTGTTCAGTGGTAATGCTTTTTGTGTCCTGAAATAAGGCTCTAAGGGGGCTTGTTTGTTTACTAGCATGTTTTTTGCTACAAAAAATTGGACAATATGTTAAAGAAAGTAGAATAATATTTAAAGGAACTCATTCATTTTTAATTTACAACTATTTGACAGCCTCATAATGCTTTCTTTTTAAACTCCTTATTAATTAGTCAACATCATATTTGCATGAATACGTTTACAAATTATGCTCATTTACTGATGGGTGCCATTAATCTTCTCTCTAATGGTATTTCTGTTCTTATAAATTCTAAGGTGCATTCCCTAAATGATTTCTCTAACCTGCAGGAAACCTCTTGCAGCTTTTATAAGGACTTAATTAATAAATATCACAGACACATTTAAATTCTCATTTTCAATAGTTCATGGATATTATACAACAAGCCAACATAAAGTATGACAAACTCGCTAGACTTGCATGTACTCCCAATATTGCTGGGTTACTAATAATACAACTGAACCTAGAAGTAAGATAAGGTCAACAAACTTGCTGTTCAGTGCAACACACACACACACACACACACACACACACACACACACACAATACAGTACAGATCCCAGTGGGAAGATTATAGAAATATATAGAGGTTTCCCTTTGGGGGTTGCTTACTCTCCTGCGCTGCCTGGTCACCCGGCCTCTCGTTAATCGGGCGGGTACCAGCGCAGCCCTCCACCGTCTGCTCCGTTTCTATTTCAAAACACACAGTCTCCCACAACCGAGAAACGTTGTATTGTGTGTCGGTGGTGGTTGCGTGGTTTCAAAACAAAAATCTGTAATTTTAGACCTTGTGTAAGACACGCAAAAGCGATATCAGGCACGGCAGAGCGCATTATGGATAAGATGTGCACAATCAAAAGTGCTTTTGGGAGAGATGACATGGCGACCACTGGGGAAAAGTCATCCTAAATCGGTGCTTTAGTTTTTTGTGGAAATGCCGGGGATTTGTCAGCCTGATCCAAACATACCGTATTAAGGAAGGGGGGATCAAATGGCCGTGGCACGCGCTCTTGGAGAGGAGAGGTTGAGTCCGTGGCACAATTTAATTCCAGATACATCTGTTTTTGGAGCACTGATGCAGATGTATTGTAATAATGACTTAAACACGTGATATGGAATATGTACGCCTTTCGAAATATGTTTCCCCATAATTGTTATGATTTGTATTATTATTATAGGATTGTCCGTGCACGCTGTGCCTGTTGTTTGGTACGTACACAAGTTTCTAAGTGTCACACAACTTACCCTCCATGCAGAAAATTACCATCCAGGCTATCCAGAGGTCCGAGTTATGAAACTTCACCATGGTTCGTAACTGTTCAGTGACTGGTTCTCAGCTTTTATCCCAGTGCCTCCTTCTTTATGGAATCTCAGCTCCTCTCACAGTTTCCTTGGAGAAAAGTAACTGTTCCCTCTAACGACATGAGACATGAAAGCAGTCTGGGGTTTTTACGCAGCGCACACCGGCGACGTTCCCGTGAAGAAAACAACTTGAAATGTTCAAATGTGTGAATAAAAATAACACAGAGAGCATTTCTATCCGACGGGCACTCGTCTCTCCTTCGGGCGCTCTTTACGATCCTTTCCTCTCGTCCTTTGGTCGCTGCTGGTCACTCCAAGACTATAATCTTTCCTTCACCTCTCCAGTCCATTTACGCACGCTTGGAATAACTCAGTTTCCACCTGCTGGTGAACTAAAATCTGCCCACTGTCGCTGAAAGTGACTTAGAAACTGATCAGAAACTGGCACTTCTCCCGTCCGCTCGGTGACTCTCTCCAACGCGTCTTGTTGCGCTCCATGGTTTCTCGTCTGTTCTGCTGCAGCTGAGCGGACCTGGGAGCAAGCTGCACAGCACTGGAAACAGTACGGCCTCCGGTTGCTATTTTTCAAAATAAAACATACGTGGAGAAGCTCGGAGTATAGTTAATATAACGTAGTGTGGACGTGGATCAAGCGACAAACTACAGTTTTGACAACACCATTGTCATGAGGTGGCAAAAAGGACAGAGCTCAGTTAGGGTTGACCCACTTATACAGAAATGTGCTCCTCACACTTTCCTGCATTCAAGAAGTAATTTCTCAACAATAAAATAAAGGGGAAATGTGTCAGAAAAATAACAAATTAGTGAAAGAAATTACAGCACTTTACTGTACTCCACTTCACAGTAGACTAAAAGGCAACCTCCACTATAAACAGCCAGGATGAGCCCTGTCAAAACGGGCTTGCAGTAAATGCAACCGCGAGAAACTCACCTGAAATCAAAATGCTTTTATTTTGTAGGCGAAATCCACCCAGCTTCCTGTTGCGCTCTGACGCTGTGTGTCTGCGGCTTGACGGCGGATGACTGAGTTGAGCTCGAGCCCGGCTGTTGCTGGGAGACTGCTGACGCCAGTCGAGAGAGAGAGAGCGAGAGACGTTCGTGCCCTCCTGCGGTGCGACCACAGAACGACCGAGGAAAATAATAGACGAGAATATCTGTGGCACTCACCGGCGCCATGTGCATACCCACACACACAATGTAAACCTTTAACATCAATAATATCATACGATAAAGGCTGCGTGTCACCCCCCCCCCATGTCCTCCCACAATGCTCGGCCTCTTTGGTCGTCATCGCAGGCCCTACATTCTGAGTCATTTTCATAATTTGTAATGTAAATATCAGTCCACAGTGAGTTCTTCAGTCTGTCTGTCTGTCTGTCTGTCTGTCACACATCAGAGGGAACACACTGCAGATGACCCATATGAAAGTGTGTGAAATACATTAAAATGCATAATTAGGCTACTGACTGTTGATCTTAATGAATCAAACTTCTGCATGTGAACCAGTCGCACTGGGTGTATTGTGGCTTTGTAAAAGATACATAATGAATTCAAAGATGAGCTTTTAATGAAGAGCAGCATTGGTGGTGGTGGGAGGAGGTAGAGAGGGGCTTATAAGTGACTATAAAGGAACTACACAGGGATTAAAAGAATCAGATGAGGAGACGTGTCAAACAACCTGTGCTCAAGCCTCTAATCATTCTCTTCCAGTTAGCTCACCTCAGCACTGAATAGTTGCTTATTTTTTGTACTTCACAGGATATCTAGTGGTAGCAGTTTGTTCGCTTAAAAAAAAAAAAGGAGCGTTCAAACATCAAAAGAGAAACATTCTGACTGAAGTATTTTTGAATTTTCTTTCCTAATTTGATTTTTAGACTTGTGAGAAAGTGAAACTCAAAGATGACATGATGGGAGCAGTGCCCTATACATCCATCCATCTATCCATCCCTCCATTCTCCCTTCTGCCCTGCAGCTGCCGGCAGACATTCACAGACGTTTAGCTGTCACTGCAGACAAATAAGGTACAAGTCAGAAGATCACCCTGAGGCCCTCACATCCCTCTCTTTGTCTGTCTCTCACTCACTCTCTCTTTCTGCCTGAGCTTTAAACTTTTCTCACATGCACCCTCAGCTGCCTTTCTGAGAAGGTCACACAACCTCTGTGATATATTGCATTCAAGCAAGCTGCAGCAGAGGGAGAGCAGCATCCAGTGTTAGATCTTAAAAGTTTGAAGAAGTACACAATGTTTGAGTTTCGCTGCTGTCACCCAAGGGCGGATTGGCTTTCTGCAGGACAACATTTTTAAACTTTAGTTGTTTCTGAATCAAATGCAACAGGTTTTTTCATCATGTATTAATGCACAGAAGGATGAGAAACAGTCTATAGTGTCACACATGGCACAGGGAAAACTTAGCCTTTGTGCTACACCTTAGGTTCAGAGACACAATATTTACAGCTTAGCTACTGAGACATTACATATACGAGGTTCTGTTTGTGCCAAAAGTGCACTGATGCCTGACTTAAATGATTCATTAGACTGGCTGTTTCAGCTATAATTCTGTTTGTGCCCAAATATCGTTGTTGTACACACACTAAGGATTGTACAGCATATATAATAGTTGGTGATTGATGAATCCAGTCTGATGTCCTTACCTGCTCTTTAATGTGGACTGAGGTGTGTTGTTGCTTTTATTTTCTAGAAGCCATGAACAAATGCAAATGACACAAGTGATGTGCCAAGTCAGCTGGCAGAAGCGTGACAAAATCAAACAGAAGCCATGTACAAAAGGTACGTCAATATAAAAGGTGTTACTCTGAAGAGACGCATATTTCTGGCACAAATGAAACCTCATACATGAACCTTGTGACCTGATCAATTCACCATGAAACTATTCCTGTAAATCAGCCACTGATTCCTCCCTTCACTTTTCCCTTACAGGTTTTTATAAAATAAAGGTTTGAACTTGATGGATGGGTTAAATTGGGTTTCTTCAGCAGCCTCAGAAAGATGCATGCTTGATTTATTATTGATTCCTCTCTGAAACCGCTCCATTTTTCTTTTATTTTCTTGCACCCCCATAAAAGATTCAAAAGACCTGAAGGAGATCCTCTATGCTAAATGTTGCAATTCTCTTCTTCTGACAGTCCTGGCTAGAGTTCACGAGAACTTGAATATTGATGTCAGGTAAACGGGTGAGCCTTTGTTTGGTGCTGCGTCATGTACTCATTGAGTTATTGGACACGTAGTTGAGAGGCTTCACTTTCTCCGGGGATATTTTCACATTTAAAACATATTATTGTCTCATTATATATGACGCATTATTATAGAAGAAACTATGCAGCAGTGTGTGCAATAGTTCACTCTAGCTCCACCTCCAGCACTTACAACATTAAAAGGCTGCTTACACATGAATGCATAAAAACAATACAGTACTATAATGTACAACACTGATGAGGGTCATTCTGCATATTAATTATTAATTATTACTTTTTTTTATACTTTGAGTACACTTTCCTGACAATACGTCTGTATTCTTACTGAAGTGAACGTTTAAATGCAGAGCTTTTATATGTAGGAAGTATATTTTTTAGAGTAAAGGATCTACTACTTCCACACTGATGTCCGCTGATAGTGTTAACTCAGGTCATATTAAGCACTCAGCAGCCATTAAACATTCAAAGAGGACCAAGGTTTTCAGTTTTGAATAGGTTCAGTCCAAAAAAGCTATATCTCAATTTGATACGTATCCATAAAAAGTAACTAAATTAAACTCATTTACTTCTTTTTCTAAAGAGCATCCATTTCTGGGTCGTCATAAAAACAAAATTGATTCAATCAATTACGATGACAAACAACAATATTGTCTATATTTTTTGTTTTCTTTAAATAAAAGTTGTTCTTCTTGGACTTCAAACTTTGATGGACCTCAGAAATAGATAACACTGCCATCTTGTGGCAAACATAAAACACACTTTACTTAACAGAAGAAATTAAAAAGGAAAAAAATAAAAGAAACCATGCTGGCATTGTGCTTGTTGTCTGAACATTTACTTTCAGGAATCAGCATATTTGTTTACACAATACCAGTATGTTTTTGTGACACCAGTGACAGGACAGGCACTGGTACTACACACTCAACCACACACACACACACACACACACACTCACTTTGTCAATAGACAAGCTCACAAGAGACTAACAGCGCAGTCTGATCCCACAGGAAGCATCAATCCTGAAATGACAAAAAGGACAATGCTGTTACTGCAGAAAGGATACATCATTTATTAAAGAACATCTTGAGTGCCACAGCTCCTTCTTATCTTTAATGTATGAATCAATGTGGCAGCAGCATGATACGTAACAAGCACCAAAATGACATTCATATTTGGAGCAGGAATGTTAAAGAGTCTAGTCAGACCATGACAGGTCTGAGAACAGCGTGTTCACTTCCATGGAGGCGATTAGACAACAACAGCTCTTTTATGACTCTCCTATTTGACCTGTTTCCCTTGTCTCCCACCCTGGGCTTGGTTCTTTCTTCTTTTGCTGTAATCATTTGCATGGACAACCTATTATTCATACAAATATGACCTGTTTCTTCTCAATAAACCTGCAAGAAAGTAAAAGGAATTCAACCCTAAATGAGATAAGACAGTAGAAATTGCTTGAGACTGGCTGCAGGTTAACAAGCGATGAAATTAATCTGCAGATCTGGAAGATAGTCGCTTGACGACAGTGTGAACTCTGAATGAAAACAGCACATACACACAGGAGGGTGTGGTGGGTCCAATCTAATTATAACTGGCACTGCTGGCCATACCTGTTGTGGATGTTCCACATGAACCGACCTTTGAAATGAGGTGTGACAGGTATGTTGCCTGTTGAGCTGCCTTTTATTGTGTGTTGCTATTAAAACTCCCCGAGAACTACAGAACTGTTAGCTTTCACACCCTAAGCCCTGAGGGGCGGTTCTACTTCACTAGAGTAAAGTTATTTTATATCAAAATGAAGTTAGGAAAAGATCTCCACCTCGTCACTGCTGGAGGATGAGGATGAGGAGCCTGATTTCTTTCCATCCTTGTGTTCCTTCTTCTTCTTCTCCTTGTTCTTGTGCTCTTTGCCGTGTTTGTCCTTAGACTTGTGCTTACTGTCGTGAGACTTGTCCTTGTCATGAGACTTGTCTTTACTGCCAGACTTGTCCTTGTCATGAGACTTGTCTTTACTGCCAGACTTGTCCTTGTCATGAGACTTGTCTTTACTGCCAGACTTGTCCTTGGAATCTTCCTAAAAATTTGCAAAAGTTGAGTTTGAATGAATTTACAGGAAAATAACTGTAGATTCACACACATAATAAAACCTTTTGCCAAATTCTACTTTCCTCTATCTAGAAAAGCTCTTGTAATCATCAAAAAAATCAATCAAAGTTGCTACCTTGTTCTTTTTCCATGGCCAGTTAATCTCATCCTTTTGAGCCTCCTCCTTCTTCACCACCTCTTCTGCCCCACCTACAGCTACGCAATTGCATAAGAATAAATGTTATTATAACAAATCAGAATTATTGTTACCAAGAATCAGAGAGACAAACACAACCTCTTCATACAATACCTAAAATACACCTTGCTGTCTTTGTTTACACACTCTGGTTTTGTGTCTATGGCATATATTTGATATGAAAGCACAGTGCAAGGTGCAAAACCATAAAGTTTAATAATCCATGCTGCTCTTCATTCTAGTTACCAAAGACCTGACAAACGTTGCTTACACACCAAGCATTAACATTCAAGGTTATCCTTCTATATACAGTCAATGTAATTGGAGCCTACCTGCCGACAGATCGAAGGACATTGTGACTTCTGTTTGTGTGGTTCCCTAAACAAGTGACCAGAAGCTCACATGCAGGAGAGGAAACCTTGGAGAGACCGCACCTAAATCACATGACCTGACCTAACCACTCCCCCAACCAGCACTCCCCCTGGGTGAAACATTCACCTCTCTGTCATGCCAGTTAATTTATCAGGAAGTGCAGTTAAGGGTTATTAAACCAGTTACAGACCTGCACAGGGAAGTCTGAGTAGGAAGACTTGTTGTGGAATGTGAATCATCCAAGATGAAAATGTTATGGGTGATACTGTGATATATTTATTTCTTAATAGATTACATCTCTATATATTACTTTTATCGTTTACAGCCAACAAAGTGTAATTTAGTATGCAGGATATCAAATGTTTACTGGTTAGGCAGTAACAATTGTGTTTACGAGACACATACAAATACTCTACAATAAAATACTGTCAGTAACTCTAACTAACACTAACTGAGTACGTATTTAATAAACAGGGCACATAGTGGGTACTGGAAAAATGAAAAAAAAACAGGGTTCCCAGCAAATAATTTTCCACAAACGTTGCCTGAACATTAAGAAAACTTTTGAACAAAAAACCCTCAGGGAACATTCACTCTTCAGCGGTTCCTGCTCTCCACCCGAAGAGCCTGCAATGTAGGAGTACATGAAGGCAGCATTTAGACAGCCTGGGAACCGTTAGTCATTGCCATTAGTTGTTCTTAGGTAATATTTATATTTACCCTAGTGAGGTTTTAGGATTGTGCTAATGTTGAACTTGTCATCCGTCTTCATCAGTCCAGGGAGGCCTTATATACACAAGCATCAACCCTCTGCTGTATTTGTATATGTATAGGTTATTTGTATAGCCTATGTGTATATAGTATGATAAGTGATGAAGTGATAATAAGCCTTCATCAATAGAATTGTACATGAAATGGTCAGAATATGACTAATAATAATAACAACAAAAGGAAACAAGACAAATAAAATCATATTGTTTTATTCTGCAAAGCAAGCATTTGGAATTATTATGACGTGACTGTCAATTGACATTTCTGCCAAAATGAGGCTATTTCTTACAAATTAAAATCCATTATTTTTCAGGGAATAATTATCTTCCTCAACTTGAAAAGTTTCATCACGTCACAATGCATCTTTACCCAATAACATCTGTATTCCACCAGAAAACACACCAAAAACATCTGCTTTTATCCAGCATGATGACTCATCAATCTTTTGTGCATAAAATTAGGGCACTGGCAGCATCATGAGAGCATATCTCATCATCACATCCAACTTCCTCCAGTGTCGAGTAAACCACACTTTAAAAAAAAAAAAATCAGTAACCTCTACTTTGATCTATGACATCTCATCATTGGTAGGGTCTTGGGCCTCTCAGTAGATCACTAGAGGAGAGGTGGCCAGTGGAACGGGTTCCTCCCTCTCCATACCTCCTGGGGCTCCCCATCAGGGACTCCATGGGGCTGGGAGGTCTGCGAATGTGGGCCCTATCTCCAAAACTCAGCAAGGAGCTGGAGACAGAGGGCTTGGAGACAGCTGAAGGACTCAGGGGATCCAGATTCACGACTGGCTTTGAGGGGAGCGGCGCGAGGGAGACGACAGGAGCACCACCTGGCTTAGAGCTGCTGCCACTGGGAGCTGAAAGTTTGCCACCACCTGAGCCTGAGATCTCCATTTTTGGCTCGCCGCCTTGTTCACCATCAGGGCTTTGCTGGAAGGGAATCAACAACAACACCACCCCACATAAAGGATCAATGAAAGAGCGTACAGAAGGTGAACAACCTGTCATGGCAGTCATATGTGGAAAAAAAACATATTTTTCACATCATTTATATTTAAAACAAACGTACAATCTTTTTCTTCTTCTCAGTTTCACTTCCTGATGAGCCCGAACCCTGAAAACAGAGCACCAATAAGATTCAGTCATTTCAACTTCACATGGGACAAAATGTGAATATATTTTTATTGATTTATTTTTTTATTTTATTGTAATTTACCTTTTTCTTTTTCTTGTCCTTCTTGTCCTTTTTATTTTCCTTGTCACTGTAATTGGAACTATCAGATGAACTCGATGAACTAGAGCTTGAGTCCTGCTCAAAAGCAAAGCATGCAACACTCCAGTTATCTATCTTTTTTTAAACAAAACATAAGGATAAATGTATTTTCCTTCATCACATCCTAAATTACCTTTTTATCCTTCTTCTTTTTCTTCTTCTTGTCTTTCTTCTTTTTCTTCTTCTTCTTCTTGTCATCCTCACTGCTAGAAGAATCTGAGTCCTTGATGGATGTAAATATGGTAACTGTGTTACTGTATTGTTGTTTTTTTCTGAAGAGACATCTTAATACACACAGGAAATAGCACACACACATATGCCACTTTGCTTTACCTTCTTCTTGTCTTTCTTTTTTTTCTTCTTCTTATCCTTCTTCTTCTTCTTTTTCTTCTTCTCATCATCACTAGAAGAATCACTGGAGGAGTCAGAAGAAGAAGAAGAAGAAGAATCCTGGACAGAAAAAGAAATAAACATGTCATTTATACAGTAGTAAATACACAGTGGGGGTGTCTCCTTCTGTTCTGAGTTGGAACAAGAAAAAAGTCTTAGATTAGTCATTACATCATCTCATGCATGCTGTCATGGTGATTGAGTTGTTTCATTTCACTCACTTTCTCTCACTGACCGATCATCAATAGTACGTTTTTACAGAAAATGTCACATATAAAGAGCTGTCAGTGATAAGTTGCTTCATTTAACTTTTTCTAAATGTTTTAGTAATTTCAAAAAAAAAAAATATTTACGAGTTTAATAACCTCAAAAGTTGTTCAAAGCTTTGTAACTCATAAACCACCAAAAACCTGGAATCTAAAACAAAGGTTCTCACCTTCTTTTTCTTCTTCTTCTTATCCTTCTTCTTCTTCTTCTTCTTTTTCTTCTTATCATCATCACTAGAAGAGTCACTGGAGGAGTCAGAAGAAGAAGAATCCTGGGCAGAAAAAGAAAAAAAGATAATACACATACAACACTTTATTCATCTATTATGAGTTGGAACAAGGAAGAAGTCTTGGTTTAGCTGATAGAGTTGTTATACTGTTACCAGTTTCAGAAAGTCCTCTGATACTGCCTAAAATGCTGTAATGGAGAGTACGCCTGTCTGTGCACCGATACAACACTACTTATTTATTACCCCAGAAACGGGACCCTGCTACTTCCCAGCAGTGTCCCATTTGTATCTTTTTTCCCCCAGAATAGTAAAGTCATGACCTGCCCTACTCTGACTCTGATTAAGCGTTTTCCCTGAGCCAGGCCATACAGCAATGGTAGAAATCATACCAGCTTATAAGCTTGTTACATAATAATAATAATAATAATAATAATAATAATAATAATAATAAGATTTGTTTGTTATTTTTAAACGTGCAGGTATCAGATTGTTACTCGGTATCGGCCAATATGCAAAGTTCTACATGCTGACATGGTGATTCAGTTGTTGTTGCTACTGACCGATCGTCAATGATATGTTTTTGCAGGAAATGTCACATATTAAAGAGCTTTTAGTGATAAGCTGCTTCATTTAACCTTTTTAAAATGTTTTAGTTTAGAGTTTGTGGCTATTGTGAAACTTTTTAAAACTTTTTGTCAACTTTTTCAGGTGTGCAATATCATCAAAAGTTTTTCCCAGCTTTGTAATATGATCCACCAAAAACCTGAAAAATAAAACAAAGGAGGAGATGTTCTCACCTTCTTTTTCTTCTTCTTCTTATCCTTCTTCTTCTTCTTTTTCTTGTCTTTCTTTTTCTAAAGAAACAAAGCATGTACTCATGGTGAATTGTGCAGCTGTTTATCTCTGTTAGCCTGGCTGCAGATGAGTGATTTACTAAATAGAGAAAACTACATTTGCATGTGTTTCATCTCACCTTGTCATCATCACTATCAGAGGAAGAGGAGGATGAGGATGAGGAAGAAGAGGAGCTATCATCAGACTTCTAGAAAGGATTTAAGTCGGTCAGTCACTGTTCATCTTTGTTCATTAAACAAAAATAATTAGCAAATACTACTTTCATTGGACTCAGCAGTTCATGAGCATCAGAAAGGCGACATTCATCCATCCATTTTAAGAGTAGAAGGTAAGAGTAATTTACCTTCTTCTTCTTCTTCTTCTTCTTTTTCTTCTTCTTCTTGTCATCTTCACTATCAGAGGAGGAAGAAGAGGAGGAGGAAGAGCTGGAATCCTGCAAAGAGAAAAAGAGCAGAGGTTGAGATAATAACATTAAATAGCACAAGTACAAACACATGTAATGTGTGAAATATTGTGAAGACACAGACCTTATCCTTCTTCTTCTTCCCCTTCTTCTTCCCCTTCTTCTTCTTCTTCTTCTTCTTCTTGTCATCTTCGCTGTCTGAGGAGGAGCTATCAGATGAAGAAGAGGAGGAGCTGGAGGAGTCCTATGGATAAAATCAAATACAAAATATTCACCTTAAAATCTGACAGAAACACACATACATTCACTCCTATGAGTCCAGCCTGCACACAGAGAGACTTTTTTGAATCTGTTATATATAGTAAATAATACTTTGTATTTGTATGATGCAATACAAATAAGGAAATGCAAACACGCGTTTCCACTTGTACAGCTCTCTGTATACCTTTTCCTTCTTCTTCTTCTTTTTCTTCTTGTCTTTTTTGTCATCATCGCTGTCTGAAGATGAGCCAGAATCCTGTTGCAAAACACAGACAGTTTTATCTTCATTATCCTGTAACATAACTTTATTGTGTAGTAAATGTTGCGTTAGTACACAGTGGTGATAATGCACTATAACAACTAACTAATAATAAAACACATTATAGGGAGTATTACCTCCTCCTCCTTCTTCTTCTTCTTCTTCAACTTCTTCTTCTTCTGCTTCCCCTTCTCCTCCCCTCCTTCTCCCTCATCATCACTCAGGTGGCCTTCCTCAGTGCCATCAGGGAATGCCTGTGCTCCCCCTGCTGGACAAGAAACACCATTACAACCAAAACAACAAGACTTTCCAACCAATGCTTGATTTGTAGAAGAGCCAGAGCAGCACACATACCAGCCAACAGAGAGGAGAGTTTGCCCTCTTCTGTTGCTTTAAGCTCTTTCTTGGCCTGTCATGACAAAAAAGCAATTATCTTCTCTGCATGTGTGTATATATGTGTGGCATCATGCATACAGTAAGTGTGAGTATTGCACCTTTTCAGCATCTTCAGCTTTCTTTTTATCTCCATCAGCACTTGTTCCTGCGATCTCACCACCTGCAGGGACAGGTTGCTTGCAATGACATGTTGTTGTTTTGATTTCCATTTGTTATTCTTGTTATTCTGTCTTCTTAGGTGACCATAAAGTAGAAACACTCACCAGCTGCTGAAAGAGCAGTAGCACTGCTGAGCTCATTCTGCTCTTCATCCTGTGAAAAAGCACAAATGGGATCAAGCTCAAGCTTACTGTATATGTACAGCACCTTATATTTACTCTCCAAATCTACATACTGTATGCAGAGATGTGTACAGATCATAAACTGATCCGAGGCTACAAACCCATCTATGTCTCTGCAGTGGAGAATTTTTTGAATAACGCAAGTGCTAAGCCAGTATGTTAGTCAAGTCTAGTCAAATCCAGTTTATTTATATAGTATAGTGTGTAAAACAACTGAATTTGAACAACAAATTAGAATGCACAGCACATCAATAGTGAGTGAAAAAGACAAGAAAATCATAAAAAAAAATAGAATAATCATAAAAAGGCACATTTACAAAAATAAATGGTAATGAAAGAATATATATTTATTTTAGCAATATCAACTATGTGCATAAAATGAAAACAGAAATAATATAAAACTATGGTAAATATGTGTCTTGTCGTGGCATTCCCTTACAGGCCCTGACAAGTACAGAATACTATTCAATTTCTCAGAAGGTGTGTGTGCTGCTCTACAGTGCATTAAGAAATGGAATTTAACACTGATACCGTCAGTCATATTTGACGCATAATGTAATGAAAACTAAGCCTCTTGTACACAGAAAACCAAAAAAGAAAAATTGTCACCTGACTCAACATTCATACAATAAGTGAAATGCCTCATGACAAGCAGCTTCAAACCCAACCTGAAAACCTAGTGAACGATTTAGAGGCTTTAGCTTGTTTCAACCCTTTTTTTTTTTTACCTTTTTCTTCTCCTCCTTCTTCTTCTTCTTTTTCTTCTTATCTTTATCACTGTCAGAAGAAGAGGATGAGGAGGAAGATGAAGAGCTGGAATCCTGTGTCAATGAGAAAAAATCTTTTAATCTTCACAGTTAAAGAATGTGTCCATCCTTGCAACAATGTGGAAGATATCATTATTTATTCAGCAACACAAGTCACAAATTACAGATAATGTCATTGGAACAAAAACATATATTATTTATTGTAATTGTAAATGTATTTCTGTATACTCTCTGTTGAATCCTCCCAATCTTAATTCAAACAGTAAATAATAACAGAACTTTATATATTAAGAAGCTCCTGTGGACAAATGACAAAAAAACATGTGCAGTGCTTTACCTTTTTCTTGTCCTTCTTTTTCTTCTTCTTCTTGTCCTTCTTCTTCTTTTTCTTTTTCTTCTTGTCATCCTCACTGTCAGAAGAGGATGATGAAGAGGAGGAGCTATCTGAGCAAGAGGAGCTAGAGTCCTGTGAAAGAAGAACAAACTTGTTAGTATTTACACAGATGTAGAACAGATGGATCAGACAGACCCAAGATATTTACAATAACTGTAACTAATAACTGTATTGTATCAAATATATAATATATATAATATAGTGTTATGGTTTATTTTAATATTAAATCATACCTTCTTCTTCTTCTTCTTCTTCTTCTTCTTCTTCTTCTTCTTCTTCTTTTTCTTCTTCTTCTTTTCATCCTCACTGTCAGAGGATGAACTGTCAGATGAGGAAGAGGATGACTCCTTCGGACGGAGGAAGCACAGTAGATATTTAATAACGTAAGGGTGTGATTCATATATTAAAGCTTCATTCTTTTCATTACATGTAAAATTTTGTGATCTGTGCTAGTCCAATAAAACACTGATTGTTACAGTTATTATATGTTCTTCTGTAATCTTTACACACCTTCTTCTTCTTTTTCTTCTTCTTGTCCTTCTTCTTCTTTTTCTTCTTGTCCTTCTTCTTCTTCTTCTTTTTCTCTTTATGTTTGCCATCTTCGTCATCGGAGGAGTTGAGATCCTGAAGTAAGAAAAGGGGTTAAAAAAAGCCTATAATGACAAGTTTAACAGCAACAGCATGTTTAAAATGAAAGCTGGTTTAATTTCTCTCTCACCGGGCTCATCTTCAGACCCTTTACAGACTGCACTTCCATTTGGCCATCAGGACCTGGAAACATTACATACTTCATACATAATTCAGTCAGATCACATATCATCACGCTGCAGATAAAAGGGGAATTTATGGACAATCATGCAAACATGAATATTGTATTGTCTTTTAAGATTAAATTTTGGAATATAAGTGTTCAAATGCTATCACATGTGGTGGGAATATGATATGTAATATATACTTGTAACGGAGAATAAAAGAATGCACAGAGCCTAGAAATACAGTATCCTTGCAATGCAAAAGAGAAATGCTGTGTTTCACTTACCAGCTTGAGATATGATCACATTGTCCCAAACATACTCTTTCTTGTCATCCTTTTTCTTCTTCTCCTTTTTCTTCTTCTTCTTCTTCTTGTCATCCTGCAAGACAATGTTGATTATTTCATGACTCTGTGTTGTTGTTGGTTAGATTTTAAAAAGATTCTACTGTATGGTAAATGGACAGCACTTACATGGCACCTTTCTAGTCTTCTCACCACTCAAAGTGCTTTACACTACCTGTCACAGTCACGTACATTCATACACTAATGGCAGAGGCTGCCATGCAAGGTGCCAACTGGCCTTGAGAAACTAACTAATCCCATTCACACACACAGCACAGCATCAGGAGAAATTTGGGGTCTAGTATCTTGCCCAAAGACACTTCCACATGCAGAGCAGGGAATTGACCCGCCAACCTTCTGAGCCACAACCCCTTGTGCATGAAGCTTGTTTGCAAAGTGAGAGTTACATTTGCTTAATAAAGTATAAATCAAGATAAAGTCATCAGGATAAGGGTTGGGTGTCACCTACCAACATCCACACCTACTCCTACACAAGCATACTGCTTCTGTGTAACCATGCATGTGAACCCGCACACACACACACACACACACACACACACACACACACACACACACACACAATTTATGATGTCTGGGGTGTTGCCTTTCCAAATAAAGCCACACAGGTCACATATGGCTTTATTGTCATGCCTCGCTGTGGTAGATAAAGAAGGCGTTTCACACATTGTCACTGGGTGTGTCCTCTCTTGTCAGATACCTGCCTGCTATCAGATCCAGGACATTGGAGCCTCCGCCTAGAGCTCACGGTGAAATGCATTCCAGTGTTATGTACACAATTTATTTTGTCATTGTTCTGCTCTTGTGATGAAGAAGTGAACCAACAGTATGGGGTACAAAAATTCAACTTCACAGTTTATTTGACCTGACTTTGGTTCTGTCTTTTGTTGTAAAAGTATTGCAATCTGGGTCTGAGTCGCTCCCTTTTCCTGAGTTTCCTGATTTTCCACTTACACCCTCAGAAAATGAGCAAGACATCATGCAATCATGTGATTGCAGTCACTTGAAGCTAAACGTTACTAAACAAAAAGGTGAAATACTTCAGATATTTCTGTACTGTTGCCAAAGCACGCCTGAGGAGGGTTGATGTGTTTATCCCCCAACTTGCCAAAAGACATAATAAAAGCTCAGTTCTTAGATTTCTTACAGTCAGTCTGACAGCTATTCCAACCTAAATATTCCCTTAACAGACTGTATTGTCAGCTTTGACAATATCCCCACCTGAGGCGGTGACATAGTCAGAACGTGAAATCGTTTGTGGCCATGGACTTAATTTAGCAATGCTGCAGAAAAGACTTCTCAAGGATTTACATACACAAAACTGTGCACTGTAAAACCCTCAGCTCTACTGTGTTAACTTGTTCAAAGGGAGAGAATACAGAGAGCTGTGCATCAAGTTCTTGCAAAATGATCGAGGCACACAATATGTCTTCCATGTGGTGAGTAAGTCTGAGGTAGGGTTCTGTGCTATTGTGTGTGTGATTACAGCAACCAGGATGTGACATGTCAGAGCACGACAGGAGTTGCATGGAAGCAATACTCTTCTATACACACTGTATATAACTCTGGGACCCTTCATCAGCACCTATTCTATAACTACACCTTACCTCACTGTCACTGTCTGAGGAGCTACTGGAGGAAGATGAGGAGGAGGAGGAAGAGGAGGAGGAGGAAGACGATGAGGAGGAGGATGAGGATGAGCTGGAATCCTGTTGAGAAAGAAGCAGGAAAGTTGTGGCTCAACTCTTTGCACACATTGAACAGGTTTATTTATACCCTTCTTTGTTGGTGAAAGTGATAAATGAGGATCTAAACGAGTGAGTCACGGCAAACACACTGGAGCGAGGCTTTGTTGTAGCTGCTTAGAGAGCGCAGTGTCGCTGGCAGCAGAAGGGAGGGGCTCCTCAGGCACTTAGCAACATGCACAAAAAAACTGCACCAGAAACAAGCGACCATTTTACCAAACACACACCCATTTCAGCAATGCTGTGAGCAAAAGTGACAGTTGTCCTGCATTATAAACAAATGAACACCTAGCGCTCTGACTGGCTGTTGCTAGGCGCAGCCCTCACTGTACTTCCCTCCTCTGTCAGAAGTCAGAACCCAGGATTTCCGCAACATAGTCTCGTGTGTGTGTTTGTCATGTGTTTTCCAAATTAACGTAACACCCTCGAGAGATCAACTGACTGCTGTGTAGTGACGTGATTTTGGCTTGTTATTCATGAGCAGACTGTGAGCACAATACTGTCAAGTCTTCATCACCATGGAGAGTTTTCAAGAAATGACTTCATTGCTTGGTTAGAGGTGAAGATACACTTTTTGAGACACATACTTTCTTCTTTTTCTTCTTCTTCAGCTTCTTCTTCTTCTTCTTCTTCTTGTCTTTTTTGCCGATACCCTCATCCTCGCTGTCTGAGGAGGATAGCGAGCTGTCAAATGAGTACAGGTCCTGGCGAAAGACAAAAAAGAGAACGCAGAGATTATCCACCGTTTCTTTCACAATCTCTAGAACGCAGTCTGCTGGGAATAACTACACATCTGATTACCATTACAGCAAGACTTCAGCGCCTGTCATGAAATTATAACTAATGAATAACTGAGACATAAAGTTTATTGAATATTTGGAGACAAAGTAACATGGGTCTGTGCACATTGTATTCAAATCATGGTTCATGTTGTCTTTTTCAAATATCTCTCCTGCTCACCTGTCCATCTCCCGCAGGGTGTCCAGGTTGACTCTTGTCTCCCTCTACCTTTCCCAGGTCTACAGGCTCTGCTACCTCTGCAATGGGCTGAAAACCACCAGGAGGGGCCACCGCTGGCTGCTGTGCACCTGCAGCACTTGCTCCACCTGGAGCTACACAGCACAGGGTGGAAGGATTAGAGTTGGTGGCAGACAAACACCAATTATACTGATATTCTTTATATATATATATATATATATATATATATATATATATTATACATAATATATATATATATGGAGGATCAGCTGTTGTAGCAATCTATTTTACCATGCTGGTTGTACCATAGCAAATGAGGGAATTGTGTGGCTGCACTTCCTTATTGTCCCACTTCCTTAAATGAACAGTCAGGTTAAAACAGAGTAAATATCAAACATGATATGCTAAGATCAATAAAATGATACTTGCAAACTGATAACCTTTTGGTGCCCTTTGCCATAAATCCAGCAAATTGCATGTTACAACAATTCAGAAAAGTGCCACACCCTTCACAATATAAGGAAAGACCAAGTCTGTGTTTTGTGTAAATTGGGTATATTAATCATAGAAACACCTTAATAAAATAGTAATAAATGAATCACTTGCTTTCTTCCTGAAATTATTGTTTTCTGTTGAAGAAATAGACAAGCCAAACTTGTATGAAGTGCACGCCAGCTACAGAGTAAACTAAGTAGACTGCTAAACAAATCACAGCCAAAAAGACAGCAAACCTTTGGGGAGTGTGGACTCCATTTAGGTCCAGACTTCTCCTTTGACCAGGTACCCACGACTCCTCTTGCACTCCCACCTGTGCACTTTAATGCCCGGGACAGAGTTTTATTAGAAGGGAAACAGGAGGTGTGTGTGAGACTTCCTTCACAATTTTCAAAATTAAACCCACTTTTAAAGAAAATATTTGACATTACTGGGAAATGTACACCTATATTTTCAACGTGCCAACTCCACTGTTGTCATTCATGTTTTTTTACTCTTCATGACACAACAACTGGAATGCCAGATTGTACGCTTCATTTCAGACTTTATACTGGGTTTTATTTTGAAAGCCTAACAGCATTGTTATGGCTGCAATGTTCGAGTTGTGGGCGGCACCCAGCCAGAATGACTGCTTTACCTGTGCCAACAGGTAATGCCTGTTTCACTGACTGCGGCGACAGGATATAGGAGCCTATCTCCACTCCAAATTACTGAAGGTATTGCGGGTTAAGTTTTACTATATGAAAACAGTTTCTTACCAAAAACTGATAGGCCTGCACGCAAATGACCTACCGCACAATTTCAAAGGAATACACTTGTTTGGCCCTCATTTGGAGCAGCTCAGGTTAATACTGATGAAGACTGGGTGGCAGAGAGGAGTTTGTCTTTTGGTCTGTGGTATTATGTTAGAAGAGATAAAATGCACACTGATTTAAATCACATAAAGCTGCTGTGTCGCCTCCCAGAGGATATTCAGAGTTAAGACCACACAGTAGTATCTTACTAGTCAAACTTCTGATTTCTGTTCCTTTCTAGCTTCCGTAGTTGAACAGCTGAGTAAGGTTAGCCAGAAACACGAGAGAGTCAGCCTACTTCCGGAAATGGGATTTTATTCAAAATAAAATACAAGTAAAACCATTGCAGTTTAAATGAAAGCGAAACAACTGGGTCGTACATAACTACATCATAACATATAAAACACTTAACAGACTCATCAGATATTAGAAAATAAACATAAATATTAACATAGCTGTGAAGATAAGATGAAACAAAGGTTAATTTATTTTGAAATGTATAAGGAAAACGTATTCTCTGAATAATGCGGACACCTTGACAGCTGCGTATCATACACTGGTGAAGTAGTTACTTATGGAAGTACATAACATTGCCTCTCTGTTTGTGAAACAACCGAACCTCGCTCATTACTGGTAACTTTATAATGCAGCACAATTTGCTAACTTTAGTTTAGCTTAAAGAGGACAACTGACGACGGCACAGTGGGACGGTTACCTTTTCAACCGACATTCACACGTCTCCGCGCTCCTCCGTTATTATGGGTCTCTGCCAGACGAAATCTGTGTTTAGGGATTATGAAAGGTCAGGTCTTTGTCAGCCGCGGTGAAGTTAAGAGGCAAGCTGTGCCCACTAGCTAAATGTGGGGTCTGTTCACACTTAAATGACTGACTGGTTGTCACCATGCCGAGCCAAACTACGTCCCCGCCGCTGACGGTGACCGTGCTGGCCGCGCTGTGGGTCAGTTTGGGTCGGTGCGATGTCTCCGAGTCTCCGGGTCCAGGATGTGACAATGGGAAGGTAACTGCAATGTAACACCTGTTAGATCTGTTGCTGTGTGTGTGACCCAGTGTTAAAGGATATAAGTGAACTCAATGTCTGTGTGTGTGTGTGTGTGTGTGTGTGTGTGTGTGTGTGTGTGTGTGTGTGTGTGTGTGTGTGTCTCTGTGTGTCTGTGTGTGTGTGTGTGTCTCTGTGTGTCTGTGTGTGTGTGTGTGTCTCTGTGTGTCTGTGTGTGTGTGTGTGTGTCTCTGTGTGTCTGTGTGTGTGTGTGTGTGTGTCTCTGTGTGTCTGTGTGTGTGTGTGTGTGTGTGTGTGTGTCTCTGTGTGTCTGTGTGTGTGTGTGTGTGTGTGTGTGTGTGTGTGTGTGTGTGTGTGTGTGTCTCTGTGTGTGTGTGTGTGTGTCTGTGTGTCTGTGTGTGTGTGTGTGTGTGTGTGTGTGTGTGTGTGTGTGGTAGCTTTATTTGTATAGAGACCTGCCTGAGGATGCTGTTTTTTGGGACTGTCCAGCGTCTACATGGCCAGAGTCTACTCAGGTAACTATGGATACTACCCCATATCACCAGCCTCCTTGTTACACACTGATCTCCAACACCTCACTGTGTCAGATGGGTGGGGTGTGCTGTAATACACTGGGTGCCAGGAAGTTTAAACAATCATAGGAAAGTAATTGTTGTGGTAAATCCTGCCGTGTACATCTGGCACTGCCGGTAGTGTGAGCTCTTAAAGCTGCTGTGCTTGCTCAGGTTGCTCCATCTGTGCTTTAACCAATGTTCACTGTCTCGCTTATCTACAGAGACTGCCCAGTATTGACACAGTGTATGATCCTGAGGTGAGTAAACTCTTTACCGAGCACTTTATTTGAGAGTTTTTCCTTAACCTTTGACCCTCGATCAACAATGCAACATGACTGTTTCAAATCAAAGCACAATGGGATAAAACACAGTGACACTTAAGTGCTGATACATTTGAATGTTTTAGGTGCAGTCAGTCAGTCTTAAGTTAACTAAATTCTCTTCTTGCAATGTTATTGTTATCAACAACAACGGAACAACAAAAGTGAACAGCTGCTTACCAAGTGTTTGTCTTGGGTGATTGATGACTGGGTGTTTTATACACTACTTAACCCAAAAATAGGACAATTAAAATCTAATTTTATCTGATTTCTTTTCACCGCAGCCAGCCAGGCAGATCTGCATGGATAAATCTATTTCCTACAATCATACAATTCCCAACAGGTAAGGCTGTTTGGACAGACCTATAATACACATGCTCTCAAAAGGTGGGGAGACACAAGTTAGGAGACACATGTACACACCTTCAGTCACCAAAACTCATAACAGTGTCTTTACTGTCCTTATATACTTTTGATCTCTGTGCTTTGTAATACATCAATAGAGTTATCAACAGATTTCATTTTCTCATGTAAGGGCTATTGGGGATATTGATATACGTGTGTGTGTGTGTGTGTGTGTGTGTGTGTGTGTGTGTGTGTGTGTTGTAGTGGTGCGTACAGACCAGTAAGGGCGGAGAGTGGAGAGTACTTGTACTGTCCTCCTCAACGATGGCTCAATAACTTGCACGTAAGTTCAAGACACGGCAACGCCAGACATCTCTTGATGCTGGCTCTGCCTCTGTCCCCGCACTCACAACGATTACATCACGTTATCTGCGTAGTACAGTAAATGCATTGACATCTTTGTTCAGGTCATCAGTGACGAGACTAACATTTATTTTTATTTTTACATTGACATGATCTTTAGTGGTTACTTCATGCCATACCAATAGGCACCCCAAAATGTCACTAATAATGCCATGTCTCTGCTCCATATATTATGTAAAAGCTGTGTTTTAACATCGTACTGTGGTGCATTTTTGAATGTTCAAATGCCTGATTTATTTTCCTTAAGATGCCATGGTTTTGACAAATGGGCTTGATAGAAGCATAGAGGAGTTCAGTGGTTGTAGACAGACTGACGGATCAGTTCTTACCAGTTTGACCACAATCCCCTTTGTTTTATTTCCCAGCCTGTCTGACACAATCGGTGTATTGTTTCCTTGTGACCTAAATTAAGAAGTTTGTCAACACTCACATTCTACCTGTTAACACTTTTGGTACTAGGGTTGCCACTGAACACGGATTTCCTTGATTATCAGGGGATTTAACAAATGGTAATAGCATGTCTGGGATTTTTATTAATGGACCATTGTAGACCAGAATGCACTGTAGATCACTGTTGGTTTAACACATTAATTGGTGGTTGTCAGCTGTTTTTCCTCCTCAAAGGAAACCAGACATTTACCCCGAGGAATCTTTGTCAGCTGAAAAACATTATTAGCAGACAAAGAGGGAATACAATATTAACATTGTTGTAAGCTCTTAGTCTTAGTATCATACATTTTGGTGGAAACCCTGTAGGTGGAAACCCTGGGGTAACGGTAGAGAATGGGGACATTGATAGTCACGTGTGCCTGTGTTTGTTTATTTCTGTATTTTCCAGCATGCAGCTACTGTTTTGCTCTACCATCCCTGTGCTCCTCTCCACGAGCGTCTACTTCTGTCTGCCCTGGCCCGCTCCTGTCTACCAGACTATATCATTACCTCACATCCACACCTCAACAAAGACACAGTGAGATAAACTCTTTAGCTCTGAGCCACAAAAAGCAGTAAGCGGAAGTAGAGTCTACATGTTTCTGTTCACTTGTGGAAATATTTTGAACTTTGCAAACTTTGATGTCTTTGTTAGCTGTAATACCTGAGCACAACAGAAGGTGTAACTCAATGCCATGCTTTCACAAATAGACCTATTTTGTATTGACAGAGCAAGACCAGGCCTATCAGGTAACTGTTAATCCACGTTTAAGGCTTTAACTACCTTTATGTAAGTGTGAAAGATACTTACATGGTTTCAGCATAGGCTTGAAATATTTGAAAGTCGACTTAATTATACACGGACCATATTCGTGTCTCAGACTATGTTGTCTCGTGTTCTTGAATTTGATGTATAAGAAGGTGCTCTGTAAACACCACTGGTTTAGGAGCGGCATTAATATACAGTAGGTAGCTTTTTTGTCCCTGTTACCATTTATTAGGACTTTTATTAGTAAAAATTAAACAACAAAACATTTTGTTTTCATTAAGCTATGTTAAACAAATTAACAAATGATTTATAAGTTGGGGCGTAAGGCATGAAACTAGGCACAGCTGTGGGAAAGTTGTTCTCAGGGACACATTGGCAGGTGTACTGGAAAAACTAGTACTACTACTAATATTAATAATAGTGACAATGATAATGCTAATAATAGCAACAGTAATAATAATAATAAGAAGAAGTACATTTTAATAAACAGTGTTACAAAGTGCTTCACAAAAAAACAACAAAATATAAGCATAAGTAGGAGCATGGTACTGTTGATCTGAAATATAATCCGTTATGTTGGCTTGTCCACATTAAAGCCATTAAAAATAATTAGGTGTGATTTAAAGGGTAGCTAACTTATTCTAAATTGCAGTGTTCAAATACTAGTTTTTACATAATGTGTTGTCTCGCCAAATCCTTGTGGTTTTGCCGGGTTGTTGTTGGTCCTTGTTGGTGACAGGTGTATACCCTCTCACTGTCGGTTAGTGTTCACTGTTTGCTCTGTTCAGCCAATAGCCTTGGTGTCCTGGGGTCGCACCTTGGAGCTGACCACAGTGGCCTCCTCAGACGTCTGTGATTGGCTGGAGACCACAGCATCCAGAGGAAATGAGTTTGGTGGTGTGCGCCTGAGCAGGAAGTACAACCTGCTGTTAACCTGGTCAGCTGAGCAGCACCGGACGCAACATGCACATCCAGAGAAACACTCCGCGAAAATGAAGGTTTGGAGACTTGACTTTCAGACTTTTCTGATATTTCTCTGATTAATTATCAGTTATTTTACATGCACAGCAATAAAGCAACATAGAACAGTCATTTCTGTAGTCCTGTAGTTGTCTTTAAGTATTTCTTACTGTAAATCCCCAGGAGTCTCTGGGGCGATGCTGTGAGCAGACCATCTCTTCCCGGCTGAATGGAGCAATGGAGGCAGAGCTAGAGTCCAACATGAAGAAGGAAAGCTTGAAACAAATTAAAGATAAAGGCAAAATCAGACAGATAAGAGCAGCTATACAGACAGACAACAAAACTACCGTCAGCAGGACAGGGGACGTTCAGAGCTACAACAGCACGCTTGGATCACCAGCAGATTCTCCTCTACGGAACAGGACTCTCTCAGATCCTCCGAGCCTAAAGCAAGATCTCTCTCAGTCTAAGATCCAAAACATAAATCAGAGCCTTACACCCAGGCCCAAAACTCCTTTGGCATCAAATATGCCTGAGACTGCACTCAGAACTGACTCTTTAGGATCCAGGGAGTCCCAGAAAAGCAGGTTAACGGTACAGACAGCTGCACAGAATCCAAGTCTAAAACATACTGCCCTCCAAAACCCAAACCCCTCTGCTGGGTTGGATGTTCTTGCAGATGGTGTGAACAATGAACATAACCATACCGCCAGCTCTGAAGCCCTGTCCCTCAACTCCAAAGACGAAGGTACAGACTCTGTTAAACACCGAATGAAAGAGTCCAAAGAGAAACACTCTGATAAAGACAGCGCAGCAGATGGCATGATGAAGGATAATGAAGTAGTAGATGTTAAAGAGAGAGAGCTGGAACATAAGCAAACACACAGTGGAAAACACTCTCACCACAAAAGTCAAAAGACTGGCTTTGATTCAGTTTCCAAATCCCAGTCAGATCCTCTGCCCCAGCAAAACCCAAACCCACAGCCGGTCAGTTACCTGCCCAACAGCCACGATTGTGACAGCTGCAAAGCAGGCGAACACTGTGAATGCAACAAGGACTTGGGGGCCGAGGCCCGAGCCGCCGCTGTGAATAAGGGGTTGCTGAGGACCCCCAGGACAGACGAGGCGGTGTGGGCAGCAGCGGCACTTGGCTTCCTGCTGGTTCTCCTAACCCTGTCCGTGCTTCACACGCGCCTGTACCGCCACTGGAGGACCATGCCCAGTCTTTACTGGCACGACCCACAGCAGGACTACGACAGCGTGGCAGGTAGGCGCACTGCACAGGGTTTAATCACCACAGAGTCTGCCCGACCAATCCTGTTAACTAATTTGATTATGTTAACTTATCAGTTCTTCCTTGCACCTAATGTCAATGAGGTCTTTTAAGTAGTTTCTAAAGATCCCATCCAGGCAAGTAGTAAGGCATACAGACAAGTACTCTTGTGTCTGATGTAGTAGTGAAAGTATCATTCATCATCATATCAAAGTTATCCTGCTGGACACAAGATGTCTCCTTCTTCACTTTAAAGTCCATTCTTAGTGTTAGTCCACTGGTGGATCACACTTGTAGAAGTTGCATACTTGACTGGGTATGACTGCCAAACTATTTGTGATGTCATAAGTCATACTCCTAGCCCCGCCCCTTAAAATCGGATGTTCAATGAGCACAGAGAAACTTTCAACAGATGAATGTGAAATCATCCTTCTAGAGTCAAACTCTGCACAGACATCATTTTGCACAGAGAAGCTCAAGCATCCATTTTAAGTGGAGGGGAATCTGGTGGAGTCAGGTGGAGGAAACAGGGTTTCTTTGTTTATATTCTTAAGTAGCTTATTTCATATTTTGTGTGTTTGTGTGTGTGTGTGTCCTGTAGATGTGATCCGCAGGAGGCTACGAATTGCGAAGAGGAGGCGGAAAAGATGCAGAAGACAGGAGTGTGTTCTTCTGCCCAGCTCCTCCAGCTCAGATGAACATCCGTAGAAAAATGAAGGAAAACAGCCCTCGAGAATGCAACCAAGTCTCACTGCATGTAGAGGAGGTGAATGCTGGACTGTGAGAAACAAATGAGGCCCTCTCTCATTGGTTGCATATGGACTGTTTAGATTCTTATATCTGTTTCTTCTTGTGAAGGAAGCCATGGAACGCGGGAAAGAAAAACATTTATTTTGAGCATCCAGAATAAGCGTTGTATTATAAACAGCCAGAACACAGAGGTAAATCATTTCTTAACAAATTTAAATGAACACTGCCATAGATTTAACTTTCAGTGGTCCAAAGCTTAATTCCCCAAATAACAAACATATTTACAAAAGAAGCCAGTGTATTTTGATGCAAGCTTAACACAACCTTTATCAGTCATGTGGTTCTGGATCAGTCCATTAACCCCTCAGGACACCCCTACAGTATAAATATTACATCAAAGAGTCCATAGAGAAGCCCTCAGGTTGTGACACTCAGATTTCTTTGAATGACTTTAAAATACAGTATATGTGATACTCTCCTACACATCACACAGTGTATACGCCTCATTTTGTTCACTCCATGTATTACAATCAATATCAAGTCTCCAGTTAAGGTCCACTTTTCTACCCGAGGATTATTGTCATTGTTTTGTTCTGTTTATAAGTAGTTACAGTACTATAGTACTGCCATGTTGCTTTTCACCCGTGAAAGTCTTGTATGTGAATATGTAAGTTGCTGTTCTAAGCAACGCTGTGTGCAGTTTGTGTCTTGTCGTTTTCCAATGGTACGAACATGTGAATAGCTGAACCTTGAAGGCATTTTTGGACAGATTTTAGAGAAGGATTTACGAGGACAATACATTTCACAGAAGCGTTGAATGTGTGGACTGCTGCTGTTTGAAACAGTTGTTGTGGATGTCAGCATGTTTTCTCCTGTCTTTTTGCACCAAAAGCTGATGTTAGTATCTGACCAGTTATAGCCGGACTGATGCCAGGATCAATATTCGAGTGTTTAAAAGGTCCAATAACAAAACATCAGCCAATATTGTATTGAGCAGCAAACCTTTAAGTGCTCAATGTAATGAAGATATTTTCTGAATTGACTCGACTTCTCATTTTTTGCTCAAACTCCTTTTACAACCTTATGTGTAGTAAAAATATGGCTTTATTGATTTGAAGACAGACATGCAATGTTTCTGTCATTAGAACTATATACTTTTCTTGTGAGGCTCTGCTGCAATGTCTTCATGAGCAAACTGAGGGCTGTGCAGAACCAGCTTAACAAAACAAAATAGTTAATTACCTTTGTAAAGTGTACAACAAATGTTCAGCAGACTCAGCAAATTCAATGACATAATAATCATCTTTTAATGAATACAATGAAATGTGGCTTAATGATATCATGGTGGGGGGGGACATCAAATTTAGGCAAAATGCAAGTTAATGGAATGAAATAATTAAAACCGTTACATTTTGGTATTAAGCATTAAGATGTGATCAGTTTATAAAATCTTTGCTTCTAATTTCTTATTGATATGATTAGACTTCCAGCTGTTATACAAAGCTGTATTTAAGTTCCTCACCATGGTGATGTTTGTCTTTCTCTTTGCTAAAATCATCAGCATCAATCTGGTGAAACTTTACCCTGAACACTGAAAGGTCTGGGTACTGACTGAAACTGTCCTTACACATTACAGACGTGTAAACATACACCTGCCCCTATTACACACAGTATGGAGAAACTGAAGAGACAGACCCACAACTTGTTTTACTATTTTATTACAAATGTACAGCTTATGAGTTTCCATTACGATTGACCTTTTTAAGTCATTGTTTTCTCTACTTTATACAGTTTTTAACGTCTTCTGTTAAAAGATAACTCTCCCGTCACCCATCTCCCAAAGTGTAGAGCTGTGAAGAAACACAGGGACAGCAACAATACAGGCCACAGTGCACTGCCAATGGCCGAGTATCAGAAGTGTGTGTGTATAATTCACTCGCTGCAAATTTAATGTTTGTACTTGTACAAGGCTTGGTCCGACTGATAAGTTGAGGGTGTGTGTTGTGTGAAGTTGGAAAGTATGTGCTGAATGATGAAGGTGTAGAAAGTGTGTTGGACATGAACCGACGGAAGCATTTAACATTCATACTAGAGGCACCCTACGTAGTGTCTACTAACTCGGGGAAGGACTGGGCCATGTGCATTTTAAGACCCTCCTCCCGCCCTTTTTGAGATGACTGTAGTGCTAAGCCGAAGTGCGCTTCAGACCTTTCCTATCCCCCCCATCCCGAATTCAAACCCCACATCCTGCACCTAATGTACTTGAACTAAGACCTTTGGGAGAGTGCAGTACATAATGTAGATCCTACTCCACCCAGCTGGTGTTTGAAAATAGTGCAACTTAGACCACACTGTTGAGTAATCGCCTACATCAAACTCGTTCTCGCGCTTCGCTTCCTGTGGATTCCAGTGGGATCGATAATATGTACAATATAACTACGTCAGGGGGTAATACCACAGCATAACCATACTCACGAGACTCAAAATATCTACAAGTACATTGGTGTCAAGACTAAAGAGCTGAAAGAAGATTTGGTGAATAGATTCCGTTGCCTGAAGCCCACTTGGGCCAACAAATGGACATAAATATCTCGCAGACATAACCCTAACATATAGCTTAATACAAAATATAGCATGAAAATATACGTTCATAGATATGGCTCTAATCTAAAACTTGGGCAATCATGATTGAAGGGACGAGCTCTTCTCTGCTGCCCCCCCAACCCCCCCCCCACACCGTGTGTGCGTGCGTGTCAGTGTGTGTGGTTGCTGTTGTTCCAGCAGTCAGTACATCACTGCAACTCAGCCAATCAAAGAAGAGATGATGTCCAAAGGCATTCAATAGCAAACATTGATACATTTCATGAGTCTTCGGGACACGATTTGTTTTGACAGGCAACAGAGCAAACAATCCGACCTCCCCTGCAGAGACGTGCAATCTTGTGAGAGACTGACAAACGCTGACAGTCAGAGACCCCAAGTGATGATAGGGGGGCAAAAGTGAAAAATAAAACATGAATAAAGTGGACAGAGAAGTGCTGAAGGAGGTCTAGCGTCAATCTCTCAAAGTGTTTGGGGCTAATTAAGGTCTAATTGCTTCTTGCTAAAAGGCAGCCATACAAGGAAGAGATTGAGATGTAACCGCTGTGTGAAGGATGAGGTCTGTTTCAGGCGAGTAAATTTAATGTGCAGAGGCCTACTGCGTGTGAATATAGAATAGACCAATGCAAGAACAACCAACTGTTAAAGCCGCAAACACTTTGAGAAACCAGCCGGTCATTGGAGAAGGGTTAAGAGGTGAATCTAAACTAGAAGAGGACGGTCCTCGTGGCAGCTAGGAAAGACTTTGTAGGTCCCGTCTGCATCCTTTGTTACAGATACGACCATATTTGTTCGGCACAGTACAACAAGCTTTAAACCTACAGTAGGCTAAGTGCGCTATCTTCTTGAAAAAACAAACAAACAAAAAAAAAAACATCTTTGTTCCCAATGCTGTCTCCCCATTGGCAGAGTTCAGAGACAGTGAGCTAGAAGTCAAAACTTCCGTGGCCCAGATCAGCAGGCCGTGACAGAGAATCAATCGATAAAACAGAACGTGGGCCTGTGCTTGCCAGACAGTCAGAAAAGTGAAGATACTACATTGAGAGCTACATCAAGCACACGTGAGGTGGCTAAATCCATTTCAGATGAAATGATGTGATGAGTATCTCTCACCATATTTACCTTCCAGGTTGCTAGGTCTGTCTGCTTTCCACAGGACTACTTAAAGCTTAACTGCAACATACCAGTATGTGTATCAACTGAATGTGACTGAACCATTTGTTAACATGCATGTAAATTAGGGCTGCTGCGTAACACAAGCATCCAGGGAGCACACCCGCCATGTAAATACCATACTGCTTTAAAGCAAGACTGGGAGGGTGGGGGTAACATCCTCGTACACGACCTAGACCAAATGTTATTATCCTGCTTGGCACAGCAAAAATGAATGTGGGATTGATTCTGAGATGATTCCACTGGCTCTGTTAAATGAGGCAATTGGTAAGATAAATCAGACCCAAACAGACAGCTGAGGATGCATTAAAAGAGCATTTTGATCCAGGTCCTGTCATATTGTACCAAGGGGCTTTTCGGTCTGACAGAAAATCAAAACCGAAAACAAACCTCCCCCTACAACCCTCTCCCCTTTGGCAACTGTTCAGCCCCTTGGCCACAGGACATAATATAACATGAAAAAACAAAACAACTCAAGTGTCACCCAGACAAAGAGTGCTTGAGAAATGCTGAGGACCATTTCACAGGTTACTTCTTTATGTGTGTGTGTGTTTGTGTGTGTGCACATTTACTTAAATCCCAGTAAGAGGTTGACCACATACGACCTGTCTCCCTATTCCATTAAATGAGAATCATATTTGAGACAATAAAATAAACATACATAAACAGTTAAATCAAGATGACAGTCAGTAAAAATATCAATACAAAAAAAACAATAGGCATGATAAACAATAAATCACAATTATTCCAGTGTAAGTGTTTGTTTTGTCAGTAATTTCTGTCCTCAGAGGTGCAGACCACACCAATCTGCATATTCAAAAAGAAGGAAAAAAACAAAGAAAAAGAAGAGAAAGTAAAGAAATGAAAACATGCCAGATCATGCTGTGTACCACCAACAACAGGGGGGGTGATGGGTTGGAGAAAAGCTGCAGCCCCCTGCAAAAGCTAACCCAGGAGGAAGCATCTGAGAGCCTGGGTGGGGTGTGGAGTGGGGTGGAGCTAGATGGGTCCCCCCAAGAGGGGTCCTTCTTTGCACCGGGAGCTCATCCTGTCTGAGACGGGATAGGAAACAGGGAGGGCCTGGTTGGAGAGAGAAAGAGAGAGAGGAATAGAGAGGGGAAACGCCCTGACTCCTCACAGGACAGCGGGACGGAGATGGTGAGGAGTATGTCACGGTTGGTCTGATCTACTTCCCTCTCTCGCAGCACACACTTCCTCCCTCCCTGGGTCAGGTAAACGGGGAGAGGGAGGGACGACGAGTGACAGGTGAGAATAAATAATGCGGTAACGTCAGGATCCAGTTCACTGTACATCGCCACCATTGTATTTCACGTACGCTTATCACAGTTTAAGCGGTTTATTATACACATCTGATTCCAACAGTTTATTTAGGTTGCAGCAGGCTGTAGTTTCCATGTTGGATCCTTCCACTCGTCCTTCCCTACTTTTACTTCCACACTTGTGGAATTTCTCCTTTTTTCGGTCCTCTGTAGTGTTTCTACTAAACAATCAATCAATTCTCTTTGCTTCCATCTGATTCCTTTTCCATGCATATTCCAAACTTTTCCTTTCCTCATCGCACCCATCATTCTCTCGATCACTCCCCCTCCCTTGTCCTCCCATCTATAGTGTGATCATATTTCCCCCCTCTTTCTTCCTCTCCTGGAAGCCCCTCCCATCCCTCTTAGCCCACCCATGCATTGATCTGTTCCCTCTCCCTCTTCCCTCTCCATCCATCCATGCATTTGTTAGGTCACTGTTTCTTCTCACGAGTGGTGATGGTGACCAGCTGCTTGGCAGCCTTGGCGATGTCGTAGGCGCACTGGATGACCTGCTGAGTGAGGAGTTGGTAGTCCACTGCAGGGGCCCCAGGCTCTGAGGGCGCCGCCTTGCGGCACTCCACCTGCAACCGCGAGGCACTGGAAGCCAACAGGCGGAGGGAGCAATGGACTGCATCCAACGCTGGCCGCTACGGAGAAATGAAGGGAATCAAAACTCAACTCACATGGTAGGTGGAGGAGGATGTAAACAGATCCAACGAGATAAAGACAGCAAAGCAGATAAAGAAAGAGAAAAAGAGACACACAATGGGAGAAAAGAAACATAAGTACAGGGAACTCACTTTGGGAAAGAGTGAGGCCATCTCAGTGACAGCGGAGTGGATCTTCTCGGAACATGGAACAAAACTAAAGAGAGAAATTTGTTATTTGAATAAGTAGCTGACAGGACGACACTTTAGACTAATCTTTATAGGCATTTGAATATACA